GGGAAAGAGATGTGTGTGGTAATGAGCTTGACCGGCTCTCAGAAGGGAAGGAAGCCTAGGAGGCCTTTTCCTGGGGTAAATTCCTACAGTGGGGTGACAGGACCAAAAGTTATAGACGTTTTTATGGCTCTTGATATATATTGCTGGATTGTTTTCCAAAATGAATATATATACAATCATGTGTTCAGTTGTTAACAGCCATTTTCCCTGGGGAGTGCAATTCAGAGGTCGACAGGATGGGAAAAGGGACTTTAAAGTTTCCATCTTCTGCATGATTTGAATTTTGTACCAAGACTATATATCTTTTGTTGTTGTTAACCCTCCCCTGAGAATATTTTCCCCATTGATTGTTAGAAAGAATGAAAGGGACGGGGAGAGACAGAGAGAGAGAAACATCGATGTGAGACACATCCAACTGGGGCCAGGAATGGAACCTGCAACTTGCCTTTGACAGGAATCGAACCTGAGACCCTTCAGTATGTGGGCCCATGCTCTTACCACTGAGCCAAAGCAGCTAAGGTGAGTATATATCAGTTTTATAATTTTAAAAAATATATGTTTTTATTGATTTCAGAGAGAGAGGAAGGAAGAGGTAGAGAGAGATAGAAACATCAATAATGAGAGAGAATCATCAATCAGTTGCCTCCTGCACTCCCCCTACTGGGATAGAGCCAAAAATTTGGGTACGTGCCCTGACCAGGAATCAAACCCTGACCTCCTGGTTCATGGGTCAATGCTCAACCACTGAGCCATACTGGCCAGGCCCATTTTTATAATTTAAAGTGACTTAATGCTTTAGAACATTGGTAATAAGCTGGGTGGTAGATATAGCATTTTATTATTCTAAATATTATATATGCATTATATAAACTCCATTATATATGAAATATTTCATACTAAAAACTTGATTTTTTTAAAAAAATATATTTTATTGATTTTTTACAGAGAGGAAGGGAGCGAGATAGAGAGTCAGAAACATCGATGAGAGAGAAACATCGATCAGCTGCCTCCTGCACACCCCCCACTGGGGATGTGCCCCCAACCCAGGCACATGCCCTCGACCGGAATCGAACCTGGGACCCTTCGGTCCGCAGGCCGACGCTCTATCCACTGAGCCAAACCGGTTTTGGCTAAAAACTTGATTTTTGTAAAAGATATTAATTTATACACCACCAGGTAGCTCTAAGTTTAACCACATACACAAAACGGATTGATGGTTATTACTCTGTGACATTTTTGCTTCTTTATTCCAGTTCAGGCCCTGGTTTGCTCTCATGTTAGCAAAGTCACTCTATCCTCTCTAGGTTTCCGTTTTTGGTCAAAAGGGAAAAAAGACGTGACCAACTTCTCAGTCCACCAACAGACTTGTCCAGGAACAATAGTAAATGGGAAGGCGCTGCACATCTTAAACTGCAGTAGAACAGAGGAAAGAGAATGAAGAGGGAATTTTCACCTGGAATGAATTCCCACATCTTATCAAGGTCAGCGCGGCCTTCCTGGGCCCTCCCCTTCGCCCTGATTCTCTGTTCCCTGAATTCTGTCTTAGATGTTCTTAAACTTAAGGCTATACAATGATACATTTGTTTTTAAATGTATTTTTATTTTTGAGAGACAGAGAGAAAACACTTCTTTGTTATTCCACTTACTTATGCATTCCTTAGTTCTTTCTTTTATGTGCCCTGCCTGGGGATTGAACCCTTAACCTTGGCATATTGAGATGATGCTCCAACCAACTGAGCTACCTGGCCAGGGCCTCACACTGTGACACTTTGAACTGTTTTGTACACATTGATGATGACTTCCCCCAGAGCAGGGCCCAGTGAAGGCAGGATGTCCCGATGATGGGGTTGTAGGCATTAGCAAGCAGGTAGAGGAGAGGAGATAATTTGGGGGAAAGCAAAGAATCGTCTTGCCAGAGACTAAAATGACAGGGAGTTGGACGTATTGGGAAGAACTTAAATTAGGCTTGAGAAGCACTAGGCTTGAGTCTGGGTATTTCAGTGACCAGCTCTGAGCATGTCAAGTTTCTTCACCTTTGCGTTTTCAGTTTCTTGAGCTGTGGGGTTCGAGAAATGGGGCTATGAAATTTGCCCTGCTTGCTTCTTCATGGTGTTTCAGGGATTTGGTGAAGCAATCTACATTTTGAAATTTTGACGTGGGTGAGGCTTTGCGGAAATACACTCTAATTACATAAAACCCATGAGGTTCTTGGGGCTGTTTGTTACCGCAAGGCAACCTAGCCTATCCTGGCTAATGTTCAGCCTGAGTCTCTGTTTCCCCTCCTCTGGGAGAATACCTATTTCTCATAGTTGCAGTGAAGATTTCATGAGCGAATGTGTGTCAAGCTCTTAGCTCAACATTGGCCCACAGAATGAGCTCACTAAGCATTTGATTCTTACCCTCCCCTAGCAAGATGGTCAGTCTTGGCAAAGGTAGACAGGCCACCTGACCAGACCTTCCCATGGGCCCCAGGGCACAGCAATGAGGTCAGTGGTTCCTCCTGACACACAGTGCTCATTCAGCAGCAGGTGTTATGGGTTCTGTCTCTCCACACTTCCCAGTTCTTTCCATCCAAATCCTGGGGCCGTAATTTGGAGCTGTTGAGAGATGTGGCACCGACAGCCCCTGGCATCCACCTTCCACTTGCAACAAACTGTGGCAACTTCATCTCCCCACACCACTGCCCCCATGAGGGGGGCGGGTATTGAAGGGGTGATGAAGGGGAGACTTCCTGCCTCCTTTGCCATGAACTGTCCCCTCAGCGCCAAGTAGCACAAAATACTTCGGGGCATATCAGCATTCGGCAGAGCCTCTGAGCCTCGCTAGTCCATGCCTTGGCTCTAATGACAACATTTTGAAGATAAATAAGTAAACTAAACACAAAACTGAGCTGTGGGTGAAAACTGAGCTGTGGGCGCCATGTATGTATGTATGTATGTATGTATGTAAAGTGTAATGAAATGGTGGTGGTGTTAGAAGCAAAGCATGAACATGAGAGCTCAACAGGGAGAAGCAAACCCCCTTGGAAAAAGCACCCTGGTCTGTGGGCTTGTCCCAGGCAGGGCTCGGCGCTGCGCGGGAGCGGGAGGGGAGGGCGGGGCTTTGCAATCAGGCCGCTACTTTCAGCTGCATCAGGACAGCAGTTTCTTGAATCCTATCCTGAGGGACAGGAGAAGCTAGAGCCCTTAGAAAGTTAAACCAGGGCTATAGCAGTGTTTCCCAGAACCAGTGACTCAGGATTGCTCACCTGGACACCTTCCCCATCCACAGCCACGCCCTCACCGCCCCCAGACACACACACACACACACACACACA